TCGAAATTAACTACGAGCGAACTGTAGTAGATGCTGAGCATCTACGTAGCGTTTTTGAGAACTTTCTTGAAGAAAGTGTCAGTGATCCAAGTCAATTCTTAGGCACTGTTAGATCAATATTTTACTAAAATGTGTGTGGAATGAGCGAAAAAAAATTATTAGCATGTGTCGAATAAAATTTTTGGAATGTTTTTTTTCAAAATCACACTTTGGTGGATTTCACTTCCGTCCGTTCCCAAATAACGATACTAAGTCCAATTCTAGCTCTGTCAAAAGAAAGGGTTCGTGTGAAGCACAAGATCAAAGGAAACGTGATACTGGATTCTTTTAACCCATTTTATTTGATACATACCAGCGATGCAGTAACCCCTATTCTAGTTGCCATTTTTATACAAGTTATGGTTTTGGAACCTTAACTTTGAACATCATTTGATGTTAAGCTTTGCCCCTCTTATTTTCTGATGTGAACAGTTCAGTTTTGTTCACTGAACGAAGATGTATCCAATGGCCTTGATGAATTCGTCCCCACTATCTCCTCCGTGCTGAGCCACGTTCCCACACGTGTTGGTGTCGTCTGGATATCCTCCAGTACCAAACCCGATTCTGGAGTCGCTGGAGATGCAATCATTTTCATTGTTGCCCACAATGCCTATCCGTGCCTTGGATGAACCGGCATTGTCACTCAGAACATTGAAACCTTCTCTTTCGCAGTTTTGCTGCAGGGAGGCTTGAGAACCGATCAGTTTCTTCCATTCGTCGCGACCCAGATTGGTGGGACGGTATTTACCATCCTGAATCAGGGAGTAGAGCGAGCTAGCCTCCTTGTCCAAAAGATAGAATCTGTTTTCTACCCCAATCTTTATCCCAAGGCAGATCTTGGTAAAGGGTGTGGCCCAGTAGGATGGTAGCTTGGTCTCCATCTCGTCCAAACCAGTTTTCCCTTCAGGGATTCCATATGATTTCAGGTCGGTCCAGTAAGATGAATCGTAGTGGAACGTTTTCTGCAAGACACAATTAAGCAATTAACTATTCGGACCAATTCCGCCTATTTAGCCAGGACAGGAATTTTTGATAGTACCCAAACATGTTGATAATTCCTTCTAGCTTATTTGATAGTTGCACATTATGTTTTATAATTACGTCAATTTAGATATAGAAGCACTCATCCTTAAACATTTTTTTCAAAAATAAATAATTACTTACATTACTTTCAGTACAAGTTGGTTACATCACTAGCAATAATCCACCATAAATAACTAATATTACTCACATTACTTCAGTTACTACGTGGCAAAAGTAGCCTTTTTGGGGATCATCAGTTACTACGCTTTTGTACAAATTGACTAAAAAATTGGATTGGTTCAATATTTCATCTTGTTTTGACAATCGATCCGCTCTTCAGTTTTATATACCTGAGATTTCTTTTATTTATTTTTACTGCTTTAACTGTATTTTTTAATTTTCAGCGCTTTTAAACCAGTTCGTCCGTTAAAGACTGTAGTCAAGACAGCCGAAAGCTTGTTTTAAATATATTTTTAGCTAGAGAACGTTCTTATATTTCACCTTTATTATTAGTACTGTTTTTCGTATAGGTAAATTTCAACTGAATATATGTGCACAGATTTGAGTGTAACTGGCTTCATCGTCGCAGAAAATATAGACGGAAGGTATTAACGTCTTCGCAATATTCATTCCCGACTTTGACGACTGCACTTCAAATCTTGATCGAACACAGTTAGAAAATTTCTCGGTCAAATATGGCCTTTAGTTAAGTTCTTCAGGCGAAACTGCAAAATTTGGACTATCTGTTTACAACGTAAGGGTTAAGCTGTACCTTTGAGCTGTCAATTTTCATGACCATGGTCCATCCACCGCCACCACATTCGCCAAGGTCATCACCATCCATGTAGCAGTATACAGGAAGCTTCTCATAGCCAAACTGAAGCATGTATGCCTTGTTTTCGGTTGGCCTTGAAAGTCAATATGAATACAACATGTTTCTTGTAGCCTCATATTAAAGCTAGATGAATCAAATAGAAACTGGTTCTGGTGGCTCGCAACGGTTTTTAACATATCCCAATTCTTCATTGATGAATCAATGCTACCTCTCTATTTCAGTTGATACTATGACAATGATACCAACCAAATTGCCAATCATTGGTTAACAAGTTGTGGTCATTTTGTTACGCAAAAGCTTACCATAGTAACAGTATAACTTCCTAAAAACACCCTTAATTTTATCTTTAAGTGCTGATAATTAGAAAACGAGTCCGATGACCTTAAAGTTTTT